CAGCACAAAAGACGAAACAAGAACTTCAATCCTGTCCACTGGATCACATAAAACTAAAGAAAGACATGTTGAGCTTTCCTGATGAGCCTCAGTCAGGTTTCAGTTTAGATTAGAGGTTTGTCTTCAACATGTGCAGGATGTCATGACAACATGAATTTGAACCTATCTGCCTTTTCAAAATGGAAAGAGAAGCTTTATTTTTCTCAAAAAATAAATGTTAGGGAAAGCAAATTTAACAACAGGAGTTTTGCTACATCCACACTGAATATCTAAGGATACAATTCAGCACCGTGGCTTAAACACTAAAAGTGAGGATTCTTCAACAAACAGTGTCATGAATGGCCTCAATTTATCAATTACTGCTGTACAAAGTGCCTTAACAGCAGTTCTATTATGTGCACATGCATGCATTTCTCCAAGATGCTTCCCCAACCATGAAGTCACTGTATAATATCCTGCTCAGCCATCTGCAGTGTTTTACTGTACGCGTCTCTGAGCATCTTGGAGAACCCGCCACAGTTCTTTAGTGGATTTAATCTGTGTCAGTGTCTTCTCTCGCTTCATGTAATCCCACAGTGGGGCCGTGGCTGTATGAGGTTGCTGTCATGCTGCAGAATGAACTGGGGATTAATCAGACCATTTTAGAGATATATATATAAAAAAATACAAGTTGCCTTACATTTGCACTGCTTTAATATGATTTTAATCTTTAAAGCTGTTCATTTTTATTGTACAAAAAAGAAACTAAAAAATCTGTTCGCTATGAAACATCAACAAATTATTGACACGAAGCAACATTCAAATTTACTGAATAATAGCTGCACTATAGCGCTGCATCAGCTTCACACCGGCTAGCAGTGTCCGGCCTGTAGGAAGAGACAACACAGAATCTTAAAGGCTTCTAAGGTCTGGCAATCAAACTCCAGAAAAAAAAGAAAAAAAATCTAATGTAAGAAAAAAAAAAAGCTTAAAGTGCTTAACAGGGCTCCAATGGAGAAGATCATCTCATTGTCTGTCTGATGCTGAATGAGCATAACGTCACATCCTACAGGAGTTCCCTTGAATTTCAAAGATGCCCTAAATATGAGAGTTAGAGCTGCTGAAAGTATCTGGCTGTGAGGACCGCTGAAGGCTGTAGGGCTTTTAGGAGGCTAACATGAGGTCAGCCAAGGGTGGCGAAGGCACTGTGCAGCGGTGGCCCTCCGTCCCGGGTAATAATCCAACATGCGAAGAAGGAAGTCTGAGAATCCAGAGGCCTCTTCCAACAGAAAGTGGTATTTCTCCACCAGAACGTCATAGAGGCTCCAGAGCTTTAGTGGACCAACACGACGCAGGTCCCCTGAATAAAACAAAGCATACAGTTTTATACGCTTAGATGATTCATGGAAGAAAAATCATTCTATAAAGTCCAAACAGGCTGCAGCCATTTAAAAAGCTGCCCTTACCTCTGCGGCTGAAGTACTCTGCTGAGTATTTACCCGACAAGGCAACAGCTGCTGGGATTTTACCAAACAGCTGCATGATCTGGGCGATGTGGTCTGAGGTGGAAGGAGACGAGACAGAGGAGCAATAAACACAACAATTTCAATACATACAACGCAGCTAATCCCGTTTAATCCCGTGTCAGAGCTCGTCATGCCCCCCCATCACCGTCAGCACACTGCGCCAGACGTACCTTCCTCCAGGGAAATAGAATCGCTGGCTTTGGGTTCGAACAGCGAGTCTCCAGTGACCAACTCAAAGGCCTGAGAGAAAGAAGGAGAATGTTCAAGAATGAGATATGAGGCAAAGAGTCTACAGAGAGCATTAATGCTAGCCTCACTGATGGGTGACTGGACTTCTGGTGGAGGTTTGTTATTTAGCGTAACTAGCAGCACAACTGTAGGAATGATCATGGTCGGTCCAGCCACTACTTTAGTCTAGACCTAAAAAAAGATCTTTTATGAATTACTAAAAATTTGGGACACTTTTAAATGCTACCTGGAGGATAAAGCTTTATACATAGCATCACTGGCATATTGAAGTTATCCAGTGAAATCTTGACAAACCTTTAGATGAACTGGCGCTCAAATTTAGACTGAAATTCATGATTCCCAAAGGAGAAAAGAATATTGTTCAACAGTTTGGTGTTCTTTTTCTTGTGGAAATGAAAGGTATTTATGGGATGACTCAGGGTACACGGTTAAGCCCATTGTTGTTTGTGTTATAGCTACATACAAAAACATCTTTGCAGATGATGCACATTTATATAGTTCTAGGTAGAATCTAAAACCAACTTTTCAGCACTGTGGCAAAAATAAAAAAGTAAAGATTTGGTTTGTTTATGACAAAATCGAGCATCATAAAATGTGATTTGTACTAAAAACTATCATTTCTGTTAGTAAGTCAAAGCAAAACTGATAAACTATTGAGAACTTCTTAAATCAAGAATACATGACTTACCATGTGAAAGTATTATAAAACAACTTTAAAGAATCATAATAACTATCTTAATAATAAATTAAAGAATATGTGTATGTGTGTGTTCTTTACATATCCTAATAGCCGTATATCTGATCTACCTAAAATTTGGTAGGTTTTATTGCTGAGGACCCAAGACTATACTGTGTCGAGTTAAAAGTGGATTCGAGAAGTTGTGGCTAATTTTGGAGTTGTTTTCTGTACTTCATGGGATCTCCCTAATCCCTGTTTCTGGGTTTAAACACCTCAGTGATCCGCTAGTAGGATGGTCACTATAAGCTTTTGCTATGCAGCCAGATTTAGTCAAAATACACTGAACTATATTTTAAATTACAGCAGAAATCCCAAAGTTCCCAAATATACAATCGTGCTGATTCTTTATAGAGACATAAAATGATCCAAAGGACTCTTATTCCATTTGATGAAATGGTGAAGCCATGCAAATTGGATTTGTCTATTTCAAAGTGTAAAGATCCCATTGGTTTGGTTTGTTTCTCACCATGCAGGCGACACTCCAGATGTCAGCAGGCGGGCCGTACTCGGATCCCAGCAAAACCTCTAGCGAGCGATACTGACGGGTCTGGATCTCCTCACAGAAATGCTTGTACTGGTCCAGACAGGAAGACAGACAGCAGACAGAAAATATGACGTTTCTTTTGTCAGGGTGTAATGCACAACAAAACCGGTTTACGACTTCACAGTGATTAGATTTCGCAGCACTGAATACCTATATTGCTCTTCAGCTTCTTACTTTGATTATTTAAAATCCACATTAAACTCAAAATTCGCCAAGAAAGCTAGAAGAGTTTGGGATGTTTCAATTGAGTGATTTCTCTGTTTGTGTTTTTGTATGTGGTGTTCTAGACATTACACAAATAAAAATCACTTTTCTAGATTGTGGGAGTATTTTCTTTACAAATACTAACATTAGTGGATTAAAAAATCATAATGCAATGTTTGCAGTAAGGTTTTCGTCTACAGTTTTTACGGAGATATCACTTTTAGTGATGGTCTTTGAGGAAAATGCTTTTAAGACTTTTCCTCTTTGGCCACTGGCAGCAAGTCAGAGTGGTCATATCCAACTCTTATCATACCAGCTTGGTTAAATCTGACTGCATTCACACAGTACCAGTGAAGCAGAACAAATGAGCTTTGGCCACTTGAGTGCAAGAGGAACCAGTTTGGAACACAATACTGACATATATACAGTCGCATCATCTCTTTTGTCTGAAAATATTCACCTTATAAAGATGGACCCTTTCTTTTTTTAGGTAAATAAATTAACACCTAGGGTAATGTATGATGTCAGAGCTTTATATTGGCAGTATGTAAAGTATAGAGGAAGTACTAACCACCCAGCAGGAGCTTCCCAAGTCAGCAATCTTCACTGTAATCTCCTTCAAACTGTCAGGGTTTACCTGCTTCCTTTCTGTAAGAAACGACAATCAATCATCATTATTAAAACATCTCACAAAAAACAATATTCTTTAATAGATTTAACTACTTGACTGGACTGTTAGTTGTGCCCATCTCTGATATTTTGGAGAGGAAACATTTGCTTGATTGCATGTTGAATTATTACAAGTATTATTTCTGATATCTTCTTCTTTTTTTGGTATAGATATCAGCCCATCAAATGGGTTGAGCCCTAACATTTACAATAAACAGGTATGCACAGAGCAGAGACTTTGCATATTAAAAATCTAACATTAGCACAGGGGTTGTCTCCACATGCATCTGCTCTGTGCACAGACCTGATGAACCCTGTGTGGTCACTCATACAGCTCAGCTATGATCTGCTTTGACACTAAACTCTTAAACACTGTCTTGCATCTGTAGCGATGATTTAAAATAAATAAAACAACTGTACCTGTAGACTTGGCTTCTTTCCCAATCAGTATAGAGGAGGAGCTGCTGCCCCCCGCTGCTGCTTTGTGGGACTGCTCCTCCAGACACAGCAGGATGTTCTCTGGCTTGATGTCTGTGTGGATGATTTTACACTGAGTGTGAAGGTAGTCCAGGCCCTGGAGAACCTGCAGAAAAAACACACAGCGCTTCTTGATGATGTTTCCTTTCATGCTTAACTGTTCCCTGATTTATCATGATCAGGAAAACTGGTGGTTCAAAGGAGATGAGGTGAGAATGAGATGATTAGATCAGCATCCAGACAGGAGAGGGGTGTCCATCTTCTTGTGTATATGTTAACTGGATGTGATTGGACCACCTTCTTAACGAGCTAAAAGGCAACATCAACGTGACCCAAAACACAAATTTGTGAAGTCACTGCTGACAGCTGGTTAAAAAAAGCGACAGTATTGAACAGTGCAAAGTTGTTCCTCTTAACTGTACTCGTGAGAGAAAGTTTGTCTGCATGAAGGTGTAGTTTCAATGCACTTAATGTGTAATTATTTTCATAAATATGCAACTATACAGGTTGAGTGCTGCAAACAAAAAGACATCATAATGACAGCAACTGTATACATGAATGTTTAATAAGAATCTGCACTTACTGCTAAAACAAGCATGATGCTGTGTCGTCTATTCTCTGCTACAAACTGTTGGCCTGTCATCGTTTTAGGGCGGCCTCGTTATGGCTCATTTGCATCCGAAGAAGCTGAGCTACTATTTTCTGCAAACCGCAGTGAAATATGGTCTTAATGATTACATCCAATCAACACCTTTAGTTGGTTTGGACCATTTCTGAAGGTCTTTGATAAGCAAAACCACTGGTGACGGGCTAAAACAGCTAGCCGGCCCTGTTCGTGGTTTCAAAAAAATGTCCCTGCTGACACATCGAAACTCAGTAACCACTTGACACCTTCTTATTTTTACTTGTAAAATAAAAACAGCAGGTACCCTAGAGGTAGGCTAATTGTCTCCCATTGCTTCCAGTCCGTTTGCTAAGGTAAGCTAATAATCTGCTACCTCTAGCTGCAGATTACATGTGAATCAAGAGCATCCAAAGTACGAGGGGACAAGGGACCATTGCACACCAATGTGAGACTCAACAGCTAAATACAATGGCAGATTATAGTTTGACCAAGCACTGATTGAAATTTTCAAGGACCTAAGGGAGCTTGACAACGAGACTCAAAGGATGCAGGCAGAAAAACAAAAGGACGTCCTGAAAGAAAGCATACTTTAGCAAACTGGTGGTTGGTGAATCCTAGTTGTCCTGTGAGTCTGGGGACCAATAGTATCATTGGTTTGGATGAGTTGGGTCCAAAAGATATAAAGCAGAGTTCCAACCAAGTGAAAAATAAGCAACAAAAACATTATGCGCAATAGGCGACAGGTAATGTGTGTTACTGAATGTCGAAGTAGTCTACATCTATCACACGTTTCTGCACCCAGACTAACATTTGGAAAGGACAAGCAGCAAACGTATCGCTGCCTGTAGTGTTCCCATAATACAATCCTTAAACAGGTTATGAAAAGTCGATTTTATGATGATGATTTATGTGTCGGTCATTCAATAGCATCTGTGCTGCTGAAAATACACCCTGGACAAAGTCACCTCTATGACAAACCACTGTTGAGGACACATGGCGGATACGGTTTTAGATGTTTGGTGTAACCTGGGTGTGAAGCAGAACTACTGCGTCCTGCGACGGGGGTTCTGGTAGTTGATGTATGCATATTTTTGAATCTGCTGCTTTGTTGTCTTTGGAGATGATGTTTCGCCATCTCCAAGAAAAGACAAGAAGTGGTCGGACCAAATGCTCAGCTCTCCATAAACATTTATGTGCGGGATGTCTGGTTTGCTACCGAACAGAGAGCTATACATGACCTCAAACAGGGAAACTAACACCTCTGAAGAGCATCTACCACCCTTAGTGTACATATGTAACAGCGGCATTATTCCTCTCATCTGATTTTTTTGCAGGAACACCTCTACATGCTCTTGATTTCCAGCTGAGAATGCGTGGTCCATTAATCTCCAATGTTTTACCTGAGTAAGTATTTGTTTGACCCACGGCTGCAACAGTCCCGGAGTCCCGAAACAGAGCTGCAAGCTTCTCAGGTCCGGCCCCAGCAGCTCCAGCACCAGGCACATGTCTCACAAACGGACATTAAGGGCTTTACGAAGCAGTTCATTGTATTGCAATGCTGTTTTTAGTAACATCCTGAATGCAACCTGTGCATGGCAATGGATCATCTGATTGATGCATTTCAGTGGCTCTTTTTTTATACACACCTCCACACATGATAGTTCCAGAGTCAAGTGTAGAATGCGTGATCAAGAAATAGCTGTGTCTAAAAAGGATACGGACCCCGTTGACCCCGGCCAGCTTGAACTCATCAAGCAGCTGAACGATCCTTTGGCTGGAAGGGTGACGCCCGACAGGACCGCTGGCCTGATGAAAGAGAGGTGAAGAGGGGAAACAGGAAATAGAAAAAGGACGGGCATCTTTTAGTATTGGCTTGTACAGAAAGAAAAGCAGACAGGAAGTGATATTCAGAAAAAGACGAGAAAAATAAAAAAATCAAAAGAGCTGGCACAGAAGAGGAAGGAGAGGTCAGAGAGGAGAAACAAAAAGCAGTGGGTCACTCACACATTTGAGGAGAGTCAGTTCATCCTGTCCAGCCTGGGCGAAGCCAGCTCCGCTCTTCAGGACCTTCACAGCGACGTGTCGACCGAGCCTGCCAACACAGACACCGGGTCAGAGCTGCTGGGACTCAGTACACTTTGTGCTGAATCATGAAAATCTGCGCTGATACAAACATGCAGCTTCTTTAAAGTGGTTATCGTATTATCACCAAAGTTGTGCTAAAGGCTGGGAGATTGGAAAAGTGAAGGTGTAGTGTCTTCATATAATAGTGATGAGGGGTCATTCCCTCCTTCACCAGACCAGTTTTACAATATGTAATACGACCTGCAAAGAAAATGCAGGTCTGACAAACATCACTGGCTGTTTGCACATTAGCACTGATCAGAGCAGCTCTGGGATCGTTTTATGATGTTTAATGTGAACACAAAGTCGTATTGAAGTGCCTTTGAAAACTGCATTCAAACACAATGCTTCTCTAAGAGAGTCACAGTAGTTTGTTACACTATTACACAATATGTTGTTACCCTGGACAGGTCACAAGTCCGCCACAGGGATCAAGGTAAATTTGGATAATGATCTTGTAGGAGCCTAACCTTAATTGAATTTCCCTTCTGGGATAAATAAAGTATTTTTTTCATTCATTTCATTTCATTTCATTTCATTAATATTTAAATTAGTGAGGTAAATTTGCATAATTAATACTCTTGCAGGGTCCTAACTTGTTTTAACTTGTTTGGTAAATGTGTAACACCAATTTTATTTCCCTCTTGGAAAGAATTTTTCTGATGTATAAATGTGCTATAAAAATCACATGAAATGATTTGAATTGTATTTATTAATGCTGACATGTTGCATTTTGCATCTGTAATGTTTTGTTTTTTGTTTTTTTTAATTGGACATCCTGCTTTTAAGGTTGACTGTCAAAGCATTTTGTACACCAGTGCTATAAGACTTAACATCTTTAATGGATTTAGTGGTAAAAAGTCCCAAAACAGATAATGTTCCAAGTCATAGTGGGCTACATGAACCAATAAGAACATATGATGGTTGAGTTGCATATAATCGATACTTTGATTTCTTTGTTAAAATGAAATTTGCTGCTTCTAATGTACATAGTGATGAAAAACAAATCAAACGTGGAAATCATCTAAGCTCTTTATAATTTAAAATGCAATAAAAAATAAACGAATATAAGATTTAATCCCTGTTTACACCCTGCTCATTTTTAAAGCAGCACCTAAATGAACCTACCTGAGGTCCACGCAGAGCCAGACAGTAGAGAAATAGCCCCAGCCGAGTTTAGAGACCACCTGGTATCGTCTGTTGAAGGTGTCCCCTATCCGAACAGGGTGGTACCCGCCTGAGCAAATATAAAACTAGCGTGAATATATTTTTAATTTTGGCCTCAGTAACCAGGTGTATCTTAACATGACCCGAAATCTGAAACAGCGTCGTCATGCAGTTTGTATTCTTTTCACCAAGTGTTTAAACGCCTCAGATAGAAAGTTCTAAAATGCCGGACTAAAGCTATTTCTGGCTTTACAACTGCCTCTGAGCTACAACATGTCTGTTAGTGACTAATACATTCAGATCTGCCAGCGGGACACTGAAAAATGATGATGATGCTTAAGCCTGTTCTCTTTCAGCCAGCGTGACACACAGCTCTTGGACATTGTCAGAAATCTTGAAATTGAATCTCTGTTTCTATTAAACCCGAACATGATATAAGCCGGTCTATGATTTATGATCGTGTCAGGCATCTGTGGCGTCGTGTACGCAGCCGAGGATGTAAGAGGTACACGCAGAGACCTGCACAGCTGGCAGGTTTGGCAGGAAGAACGGGGACCAAGGTCAGGCTAGCAAATTGGCAAAAAAGATAGAAAAAAGACTTAAAACTGCAGGTTAAAGTGGACGTGAAACATTGGAATATCTGAGGCCCGAGACCGTAACACTATTGATCTCAGATTTATCTTGAATCCAACCCTGAGCTTGGGAACCGCTGCACTCATGATCTATCATTTCCAGCCGGAGCTCACTGGCAGTAGAGTGTGACAGCGAGCGGTAAATGTGCACATGTGCAGATGATGCCGTGAGTTAGGGATGTGCGTGTGTCATACCATAACAGTACTCTCTGGGGTCTTCAGAGCTCTGGCCGTCCTTGGGATGCAGCTGCTCGTGGCATCCAAGGGCTTCGAAGCTATTAGACAAGCCACCTTCGCCTCTGCACATACACACAGAAAATGTCACATGAAAACTTGATCCTTAACGCCCGTGCATCTTCTGTGGTGAGTATGTTGCATATGTGTCTGTGTGTTAGTGGCAAGCTGGTGGCAGCCAGGGCGGTTGAACTACTTTTAGATTTTCCCATAGACTCAGCCTGCCATGGAAACTTGTCCCACTGCCTGCATGGCTAAGATTGGACAAGCAGCATCGGAAGTTGCGCTATTTCTGACTCAGCTGTAAATCATTTTTGCCGTATGCAACCCGATAACTCTGCATCCCAGCTGCTTTGGAGTTACGCCCACGTCATGACTTAAAATAATGATCACAGGTCCATTTTCCGTGCGGTTAGAGGGGCGTACAGTAGAGTTTGATTTGTTGTATGGCTGAGTACAGAGAGAATGTGCGAGATTTCTGAATTTTCAAAACATTTTAATGGATGGTCATTGATTATCTTGTTCCCAGGAGCACTTCGATATATCATCTAAAACTCTAAACTACCATTTAAGTCACCTCCTTGATCCCTAAAATAATCCTGGCATGCTTGATTTGTGCTTAAATTAGCTGCTCCAAGATGCACTGCTGTGAGTGCAAAAAAAAAAATCTTAGGAGCTGAGTTGCAGTTTTCATGCCAATGCAAGAATGCAAACCTGCATAAAACACATTAGAAGACGCAATGTGCATCCATGCAAAACTTGGCTTGCTTCTAGTGCTGCAAGAAGATATTTCAATATAGAATTAAAAGTTCTTTACTCACTTGTGATGGTGCTGAGGACTCCTCTGCATATTGTGAATCAGAAGGTGCAGCCAGTATCTTGAATTTTTTAAAAAAAGTGTTGGATATCTGCAGTCTGTGCTGATCAAATCCCAGCATTGACTGAAGAGAGAGAGACAGTGGCTAAAGTAAGTGAAACTGCAGCACTTTTAATGCTGCAGCACTTGAAAACAGTTGAGCAGCTAAGAGGTGGAGGTGGTGTTGTTGGTGGTGGTGGTGGGGGTCTGGTCGATCTCTCAGGAGGCTGGGAACAGCAGCAACAGCAGTCAGCAGTCTATACATGGAAATGCCCAGCAGCCTGCTTGCTCGCTGCCTGTCAGGCCTTTACCTGCCTTCCTGTGCGATTTCTATCCTCCGCTCTCTCCTGGTCAGATTCAACTGTTTGTCTCTCTCTTTCTCTGTATCTCTGTTCCTCGAGTTGTTGTCTAAAGTGGGAAAGCCACAACAGAGGGCGGGGGGGGGACCCTAAAAGAGGAAAGGAGTGTCGCGTGAGGCCAAACAGATAAAGGAGAAGAGGGAGTGACAGCTGCTGATTTGTCCACCGTCTCACTGGGAGTTTGACCTTTGGGATCGTTCATTGCTAAACCTGGCTCAAGACTGGGATTCCCAAACTCTAGCACATCATTGAATAACACAATAAAGTTTCAATGCAGTGTATTTTTAAGTCTACATGCGAAGGATCTATCTAGGAAGAGGTGGCATTCTGTGAGAAAGCACGCGGTGTAATCTGTGAGCTACCAACACCTGGCTGTTAACGCTCCTTCTTTGATACGGCACAGGGTTTAACAGTTGATACTGCTGAGCAGAAGGGCTCCTGGGTACTGAAGCATATAGTACAGATAGAGGAGGTGAGAGAAAAGACAGAAGCTGCGTTGAAGGGGAATGAATAAGAAGGGACTGATATGGGGTTTATCAAGGGCTTCTTGACCTCACGTGAATAGCTGTTCGTAGTCAGATAACACGTTACAGTATCACACCTCCTTAAATACTCGGACTATAGTGCACACTATGGCTGTACTTGCACTGTGGGCGTGTTTACTGTACCAATGTGAAAGCGTACTTTAAAATGACAGGGTTTAAACTTTAGCCTATGGATTTGGTAGCAAATGGTACGAACCCTTCTGGTGCAGTGTATGGGGTGTTGGTGACTGGGCTTTATCAAACTTTACTAAAGGCATTAAGAACATAGGTACTATCCAAACCAATCTAGCTGCTGTGGTGATATTGTGTGTTAGTACAGAATATGTTTGACAATATGAAGCCCTGTATTGTGCGGACAAATAAGAACAGGCATCATGGAATAGGTGAGGGCATCTGGATGGATGTAATTTGAATGTTAAGTTAGTAGATCATCTCAAGTCCAGTTAGCCCAGTGAAACCACCTCCACAAACAGCCTTCTCTCAGGTGACCCTCTCCTGACCCTGTTTGGATTCACATCTCCCTGACATAGCACAAACAAAATCCAACCATTACAAGTTTCACAAAGCAAAGTTGGTACAGGGGCTGCAATTCTGTCAATCAATCAGGCTTGGAATATAGTATTTTGAAATGAAACTCAACACAATGAAAATATCTTCTTTAACGTACTCAATGGGGCGACCCTGTCTGACTTCTTACCTTTTAAACTTGAAAGTCTCTTCATGTTCTCTACAGTCTCCTGAGGGAGTATTCTCTTGGGCGTTCTGTGGTCTGGGCTGAGATCCAACGGTGTTCAAGCCTGGGTTGTTTTGTCCCCTTACCTGTAGAACAACCTTCTTAAAGTCCCACTTAAAGGTCGCTTTTATTTTTGGCTTTTAGAGTTGCAAAACTGTCTGATACTTCATAGAGTTTGCTCGTGGTAACTCATCTGACTTTTATAGGACAGGTTGATGTTTTTTCAACCCTATGCATTAAATGATTTTTTTTGGCCACTTAGGGGCTTAGTCCCCCTTATTTATATCACTCATCAACAGTACCTGCTGTCAGAGGCTAAACTGCGATGTCTTTGATCTGTGATAGCATCCTAGAATCTTGTCTCTGAGGCACAACAACATCAATACCTAAGAGATTACTTGAAGTGACTTGGGCTGTCCATCCATTCAGTTTGAAGCAGTTTGCATAAATGGTCGTCCATCCATTCATCCAACCGTCTATTGTTCTCTACTAATCTTCAGGCTAAGCAGGGCATTTCTTCTCTCTAGGAATGTTTTCCAACTTGAAGATCCGAAGGCCAGATGAGATATATAATCCCTCCTGTGAATTTTGGGTCTACCCCGGGGTCTCCTCACAGTTGGATGTGCCCAAAAAAATTCCAAAGGAAGCTGGCTTCTTCCAAGGAGACGCGACTTAAGCACTTTCCAAATGTGGCAGCTCCTCACCCTACTACGAAGGCAGAGCCCAGCCACAACACTTTTCAGCTTCTGGTATCCGCAGTCTTGTTATTTTATTTACTAGTCAGAGCTCAGCGTTAGAATGTAGTTCGACTGGTAAACTGAACCTCCCGGCTTAGCTCCTTCTTCACCACACAGCAGCACAGAAGCACATCTTGTCACCAGGCATACTGCTGGAGACCTGAGAAAGTGCCGATCCCCAGCAGTTAAGAAATAGGAACCTGTCCTATAAAAGTCAGATGACTTAACATTAGTAAACATTGAGAAATGGCCGACAGTTGTGCAACTCCAGAAGCCAAAAACAAAAACAACCTTTCAGATGGGACTTTAAGAAGGTTGTTCTACAGGTACGGGGCCAAAACAACCCCGGCTCAAACACCGTTGGACCTCAGCCCAGACCCCTGAACGCCCAAGAGAATACTCCCTCAGGAGACTGTAGAGAACATGAAGAGAGTTTCAAGTTTAAAAGGTAAGAAGTCAGACAGGGTTGCCCCATTGAGTGCTTTAGGAAAGGTACTTTTATCATTATAGGTATTTAAAATGACATTCCAAGCCTGATTGGACAGAATTGCGGCCCCTGTACCAGCTTTGCTTTGTGAACACTTTACATTTAATGCATTCAGAACGAAGAAACTGGAAGTCACAACCTCCTTACAGTAGGCTGTTCTATAGCATTGCATTAGCGCGCCGGTGTTTTCGGCACACCCTCCTGTGTCCTGCTATTACTGTGTAATGTTGGTCCAATCTTAAGCTGAAAAGCCTGTGCTGGCTGTTGGTATTTTCCATTTTCACAGAGCTGCAATAGGAGACTTCCCACAGGAGCAGGAAGCATGTGCGTGACATCAAAACGGCACCTGCACCGATCTAGATCACTGGGTTAGTAGTGGATAAATATCAGGTGATTAAAGAGTCGACATATTTCCTCCAGCGTTAAGGGAAAGGCCTGATACTACGTGTTTATGCATGTACACATTTCCCTTATGCTGCACATGCGAACACACAGTCAACAGGCCTATCTGACCCCCATTTCTACCCGCCATAAAAATGAAACGTGACCTGCATTCATTTGCAGTGATGCTGCTGCTAATTTAAGACCCACATACGGATCCTGCTTGTCCTCGGTTTAACGCTGTGGAAGATTTCATCACCCTCCAGTCGCAAGATAAAACAAACACACAAACATTACCTGGAACACACTGAATGGCATATGAATGTTTAGCTAATATTTTAGGATTTCGCCACTTATGGATTATTGTTATCTCTGGATGAAACACAACAGGGGGATTGTTTAGGATGCCAGCTAATAACCACAGCCATAGTCTGAGGCCCATGCATGTTGCAACATTGCAAGCTGTGTGTTTACGTGACAGGTGCTCATACATCAGATTTATAGCCCACTGAGAGACATATGGAGTTTCAAACCCAGCCTGCTGTTGACAAGAAGCAAGCCAGTGTGCAAATTAGTAGTGAGGCCTTTCTAAACTGTGCTGTAGGGATCTGAGCGATCACATTAATGTCAAAAGATGATGAAAATGGTTTCTCCTCTTAATACTTGTTAATACATGTATTTTACTTATATAAAATTAAAACCAATATTTCAGATTTGCTGTATTGAAAATACAGGCCCCCCAGTAGGAACAGAGGTCGACACATCTTTCATTACTGAGATTCTGATCTTTTATTTATTTGACACCTCTGTTTTTGATGACAGACTCGATTCTCCTCGACACCAGTGTTGTGCAAATCTCTGGAGACATGTTCTGCCATTCTTTTGCATATTTTTTCTGTTTCTCAGCTGCACTTTGCCTGAGGGGTTGTGTTGCTTTGCGCTGTTCGTTCCAAATGCCCCAAAAGGTTAGATTCAAGTCAGGTGATACGCTTATAAAGGTCATAGTTTTCACCTTTTTTCTTCGTTAGGAATTCTTGTGTGATTTTAGCAGTGTGCTTTGAATCATTATAATGCTGGAATTTCTCTGTAGACTGGGAGTCATCTTGTTGTCAGTACTTTGATATATCCACAGGCATCTGTGGTGCCGTCTATAAATGTCACCTCCTCAAAAACGTTTCCACTCATGCGTGCCCATATCATCACGCTCTCACCTCTGTGCTTCAGTGTCAGGATTGTGCGTTCACTTTGGTCGTCATAACCAAGTTCACGCCAAACACGCTGGACCCCATTGGAGCTTAATAAAAAGCAAGCGGGGTTTTCTTTTCTTGATTGCTTTCCATAGCGGCTGACGTTATTGAAATTGATCACACTGTCTGAACTGACTAACCTTTTCGAGCTATGCTGCACGAGCAGTGCATCGTCAGTGGTGTTTGGTGGGATTACGGTGGCGCTGTGGCTCGTTCTACACCTCCTGTTAACAAGTGCAACTGTGCTTTGGTGGGTGTTTAGCATAGACTGTATAAAAGATGGACGTAGCTACCGTCACGTCACCCGTTGGTTTCTGCACTGAGAAAATGAAGCCAGGGTTTTGCTACTTCCTGGTTGACATCTTGGATTTTTGGAGCCAGTGATGCAAAAATCGTGGGAGGGGGGCGGAGCCATAGGAGCAGCGATTGATCAGACGGATTGAGAGGCGGGCCCTCTCTGCCCGCCCACATTATTATTGACCATGAAAACTAATAAGAAAAAAATCTTGAGCTGGAGGAATGCAGTATTTGATGATCTGTGATCACTTCTTTTCCAATTCAAGTCTATGGGAGCCAGGGCTTTATGGAGCCAGCAGCTAGCGGACATAATTTTTTGACACTTCCGAGTTGGCTTCATTTTTCAGGGCCAGTTGCTACGTCCATCTTTTATACAGTCTATGGTTGTTTACTGATCTTTCTGTTTACATCTTTATGAAGTTTCACAATCAGATGTGGACATTTGACAATCACAAGTACACATTGCTTCATTCAAGAGAATCACTGATCAATAGAGATGGGGAAACACTCGTCCATCGGCCACTTACTGGATCAATAGTGCTAACGGAAAATGTGCAAGGGAATGGGTGAGAGGTATCGAATTCGAACGTTTGGTCACAGTGCCAAGTGGTTTGTGATACAGTGTCAAGTACAGCACATGGGGATATGTGCGGTTTAAGCAGTTTCTCCAGTTTCAGGGATGTCAAATGATTCAGATTCATGGTAAGCTGCCAATCAGTGAGTATAACTGTCAATACCAAAACAAAAACATCTATGAATAGGTAATAATGCAAAGAAACTTGAGACTTCTGTTGTCTGGACCACTTTATTGCATCACATTAAGCTGTTGTTAGGTTCATCCTATCAGTTAGTTTAAGAACGCTAAAGTCAGGATTACTTATGAACAGTATGTATCTACAGTAAAAACATCAGAACTGAGCTTTGCATACACAAATAAGCCACAAGCAACACTAATGTGCATGGCAAAGAATAATAGTGTTTGTTTTTTTTTGTAAATGTACAAGGTAATTGCTTGCTTCAAGAAACACCGTAACGTACAAATAAAAGGGTCTTACAAAAAAAAAAAATCTCACTGGGAGGGTCAAAACCATTATCATTTTATCTGCCTGAAAGGAATAACCAACAACAAGTAAAAATAAATAAACAATAAATTAAATTGGAAAACAACTAATAAAAGACTTTCACATGTGGATTTGTAGAGCGACAGACACCTTTGTATGATCATCCTACTTTCTGATTTTATGTCTTCAGAGACAAGGGACAATTTATAAAAGATAAAAAAAAAGCTTTGCTCTACCACAACACTGCTAAAACCGGGCATCCACTGTGACGCCAAAAAAACATCAAAATTAAAGCTTAAAAATCAGGGCGCGGCTGTTGTGTCAGTGTGAAATGTTAGTGTGGAAAAACTGCTCTAACAACCGATGAGTGGAGGCAGCGTTTTCCTCCTTCCTCCCTCTGCTTTAGTAATAGTTACAGACGAAATTTACAGGTGGAGCTGAATCCACTGAAAAATGAGCGTCGTCACAGGACCACAGAGAAAACCGAACAAAGAGTGTGCAGTAGGCAAAAACTGTAGATATGGAAGATCAAACCTGATGAATCGGGCGAAATACACCAATAAAATGCACATATATGAGAAGTGATTGCAGAAACATGAAGTGATTTATGCCACATTGTCCGATTTATAATAACCTCAGGATTAGCTTTTTTCTGCACTTTTGTTTTTCTAGAACAACCTATGAAGCCTGGACACACTTTAAACCCTATCATGGTAGGAAACAGAAGCTAAATAACAATAAATAATGCACCTTTTAGATACTTAGAGAATCATTTCTACATTCTTCTGTGCATTGTTTTTCACATTTATTACCTACAGGTCAGGCTTTTTGGATTTTGTGTAGTTCAAGTGGCGTCGAAGATTTTGCGTTCACTCTTTTATCAAGGACGGATAAGTCATCTGTATGTATCTCTCACCAAATTCTCTTGGGTGCTACATATAAAAATGCTTGCAAAATTCATACAACATTTATGAAACACGAACGAAGAAAAGAACATTCACAATAGCAGTCGATCACGAAACAAAACACCAGTCTTCAGTTCAAACCACATGAGGCAGCAGCTGGAAATTTCAATCAAAGGACACGTGGCGATTTGAGATTTGTCTCAAACAGTAATACTAATCATCATTTTTGCATTCAGGGTCTTTAGGGTAGAACCAGATATCATGGCGCAGTGGAGCCACACTTGGCACGCTTTCCATCCCCCCGACACTATAACTGTATATAACCAAGAGTGCATTAACATCAGTGGTCCGCAGCAATACTATCACATCCGGGAGGAGTTGCAACCCTTAACGTGACTTTACGTGTTCTGGCCTAGCATCACTTGGAGGGTTGATCATATAGACCGTGTGTTGTGGGCATGCACGGAGAACATGTGTGCAACGTGTGCAAGCGGTATGGAAACAAGCATCATTATGAGTCAGCTCCTGTGTTACACATGTTTTTATGACCACTGGAAGATTTGCGACTTCCCCGTGGATAGCAAACTGTTGAGATGAGCCAACCTTCACGCTGAGGATCATCACTGGTGACGGGCGGTGGGTCTGCAGCTACCACCAACAGAAGAAACAGCATTTTCTGTAATAATTAATCTTTAGGTGTCGGAACATTTGGCGCAAATGACCTGAACTGTTGCACAAAAGCGCTGTGTGAATGTTCACAGCACAATGATTACAAATGTTTTTTTTGGCTACAACAACACAATAATCGCACCCCACCCGTCCCGCTTGCTAGATTTAGCTCCCTGTCGCTTTTTCTTCTTCCCCAAAATAAAGCTGAAGCGTCATCACAGATAGTGCTTAACATGTTTTTAAAAATGGACTTCCAGGGAGCGCGTACAAGCATTGCAGAGGTGCTTGAATTGCTATATAACTGCACAAGGACACTAGCCTGATGGGGATAAAAGCCACATTTAAATCAGTTTTTTCATGTTTTATCGGCACAGTCTCTTGAACTTTCTGATCAACCCTTTTATGTCAAGGAATCATATGCGGATCGGGGTTTTGCGTTTGTCAAATCATAGCTTACGCACACAGGGCAGCTCATTGGTGGGTATGTGTTGCTTACAGTGGCACCAGATGTTAGGAGGGTGAGGGGAGATTCGGATCAGCACCATTCACCAGTAACAGCGGGTTATCCATAAATCCAAGTTTCTAAAACTCCCCGAAATGGTCACGGCACAGGCAGACGTTGGTGGAGTTTTACACAATCAGTCCACCTCTTCTTTATCTCATCGTATTTAGGAACTTAAAATAAGGACACCGAGCTGTTTGCTGCTGGATGAAGGAATAGCTAGCTGTGGTAGGTGCAGTAGCTCACGATTAAGCAGGAAAGCCTGTCACTCAGCAAATGCAGATGAATGTTTTTTTTTTTTTTCTTTGCTTTAGTGTGTAACGTTATAATTACCAAACCCTCCAACCGCACTGATGGGCAATTTTTGATAGGATTCCTAAAAAAAAACTGAACCAGCTGCAAAGTGATTCTCTGATTCTCTGGTATGTAGGTTTCCTCTGGCTCTGAATTGGTTTCTGGCTCTTGTGGCTCAAACATGTGAGACCGTTCAAGTCCGATAAACTTAGTAAATAAATCCTTTTTTTGGACTGCAGTGGTATTTGACATGTGAGAGAGGCTGCACCTTTCCTGCAACTGGACATGGTTTCAGTGCCTTCAGTGATCACATCCTAAGAACAGAACATACTGCTTTTTTTTTAAAATCGTAGTTTCATTCTAATTTGTCTGAATGGTTTCTGTGGTGTGACGAACTCAGAACACATCTTTTTAACTGCTTTGTGTGAACTAAAAAAAAAAACAGAGTAAGACTTGGATGAATGATTTAAGGAAGTAAAAGCAAAAATGGAAACATCCTTCAGATTCGATAAGCGGTGACTCAAGCCACTGACAGTTCTTCATGTAAGACTTTGACAGAACACAGTAGAAAACTCCACAGCTGTCGATGTTAAAGGTCAAGTCCTCCCTTTTTTTCCCTTTTGCCTCTTTGCATGGTTTTCGTCCTCCAGCACACTTAGATTTTTTTTCATTCCTAACTAACAAGCGTACTGTTAAACTCGGGGCGGGAATGTTCTGTGCAGTTCATCAAGAAAAATGTCCGTCAAGAAAGAGGAAAACTAAACAAAACTGATCTCTCTTCATGTTCCCTTGAGGTGAATAAAACACCATGGGGCATCCTCACAAGAGATGTCACACTTAAAGAGAAAGTTCCTTAGTTTTCATGTGCCGTATTTCACATTTTCTCAGTTTTTTTTTTTTCCCCCTTCAGAGTGCTGTCCTTTTACTCCCAGTGTGAGGACCTGTGGGAATTCTAAGGGATTCTTACTGTACCCCCTTGATACAGCACAAGAAACATGGTCACAGTCACTGATCCTCTTCACATCGTGTCTCCTTTCACTAAAAACGTCTGTCAGAATGACACTAATATCACAGTAATATTCCTTTGTCATCCTTTATGTTCAAAAAAAAAAAGAAAAAAGAAAGACGTTTTTGTTTTTTCCGAAGGAGATGTCAAGGAGAGGTTTTCGCAACAATATCTTCTCTTCAAGGTTTAAAGAAAAGTCCATTCCAGCCTCGGGGTCATAGGTCTGTCACCTTGTTTTCTACGGCAGCGGCGATCTGTTGGAGCCTGTAGCCAAGCTGCATCTTCTGGGCGGTGGAGTCCTCTTCCAGGGCTGTGATGATCTGACACAACAAGACAAGAGTGGGATGAAAATAATTCCATGTTTATCTTAAGTTATTACAAGTTCTGTTAAAAAAAACAAAAAGCCATATTAACGACAGCAACTTCACTGCATGGAGGCCGGTGAAGGATGTTATCAGATCTGAGGAACATTCATGGCTTTACTGTTTATTGGATGTGTTAAAGTTAGCAGCGTTACCCAAAATAGTGTTTAGTCCTCCTACTTAAAAGTATTTTTTATTTAGTCTAAGTATAATTTTGAAATTACACACATCCTGTGAGCAGATAAAAATAAAAACGGCAACAGTCCTTATCATGCTATAAGACTAGTTGGCTCTATTTTGTTATTTATATATATTTAAAATCTAAACCTAACTCATGGAGCAAAGGTGAGCTTAGTGAGCAAGATAGCTGCAACCACAGACTTTATAAAAAAAGATGGACGACATGGCAATTCCCCAGAAATTATATGTAGTCGGTAGGAAAACGAATCTCAACCTCTGACAACTTACTCAACAAACCCAACAGTCGTGTCCATGTGTTACTCACCTGATCGTAGTATTTGTTGATGTACTTGTACAGCTCGTGTAAAGCCACAAGACAGTTCACCTCGGCGGCGTAATTCTGTTTTTTTGGGAGAGTAAAAATAGAGAGGTGTGCAAACGTCAGTGGGTGGAAGCTGTTAAAAAGTGCACTGGCTGTCTTTCATATTTTATTTAAAAAAACACTCCACATCCAGCTTGTTATGCATCCATCCAGACGGAAACTTCCTGAAATGATTTATGTGTTCAACGCTTGCCAAAAAACCCCCCAAAAAGTTATTTATGCAAAATGGGAAAACAAGAGCGGTAACCTACACGAGAGAGTTCTGCTAGAGCTGAGTTCATCTCCTGGTCACTGGCTGAGATGGTCTGTCGGATGTCTGCGTAGTATCTGGAGAAAGGGATGGAAAAGAATGAAACAACTGCCTGGATTCACTTTCTATTATTTCCTATAGCATTGTTTTAGAAAGACTAGAGCTAAAATGTTCTTTTAACACCATCAAGTTTGAAAGTAACAGTTAGCCAAATGCTAATGGAACCAAAACGGTACAGTTATGGGCCCTAAAACCAAACACCAATGAGCTGAAACACACTAAAATGAGCGCACTTCTACATCAGTGCAGTAATGTGAGATAATCATACAGATAATTACCTAAAACTGGCTCGCTGATTCACTTCAGTTTAAATTCAAAACAGTGGAGAAAATATGCATAGACCAAAGCTCTTCTGCATCCATTTTAAATTGAGTTAAGACGAACAATCCTTATAAAACAAGCACATTTTGGATCCGAAAATCTCATGCAGAGATACTCCAATGTATCACCGGTGTAATCTGCAGGCTTTAATGTGCAGCAGACAGTAGTAAGTGTGGCAGTCTGCTCCCAGACCATCCATGCATGGAAGCCTCACAGGCTTAGTCTACCCTCTGTCTGCCGCTGACAGATTGTCCTCGGCCTCATTCTCTCCTTCCTTCCCTTCCTCCTCCATCTTCTAGAGTGTTTTTTATGCCTGGGGTCAGTGGGGCGGCCGGCTGCCATATTCTTACCTCTCCACCATCTGTTTGTAGCGCGGGATGTCTCTGGCGTACAGCAACTTGTTGATCGGAGAGTCCTGTGCAAGCAAGACGAATGGAGAAACATGTTCTGAATATTATATAAAACAAGCGTTCTGTTGATGTTATTAAGCACTGGGCATAAACAACATGAGGGCTCATTGCAGTCACTGTCCTAGTGTTAGATTTTGAATAGTTAATCTTGCAGTATTCTACATGCTACATGTTATTTACTAAAGAAGTAAATTCACTTTCCAAAACTTCCCTTAACCTTCCACGTATGGAGTTGGGATGTCGCTACAGCAGTGGTAGCATAACGTCTTTGGGTTGGTTTATTTTTATGGTACAGAATAATAGTGTTGCGTAATCTTGGCAGAGCCGCGGTGTGGAAAGCTCACCCGTCCCAGTTTGTGGTCAGCAATGGTGCAGGAATCCATAAAAGTCTGGGCAATGACGGAAAGCACGGCATCCACATGGTCTGAGGTCTGCACGTCGAAGATGAACTGTGGGTTCTTTAGGATATTGATCCAGAACCGCAGTGGTAAACTGGTGGGACAAGAAAATGTATATGCACATGTTAACCGAAGATTAGACTGTAAAGCAAAAAAACAAAAAACATATAGGCTTTGATTCAGATTACAATCAGTAGCTGTTATTTAATGGTCATTTTAACATCCATAGAAGAAACATAAAACCAACACAGAAAACTCCAAAACTTTATTCCTCGAATGATCATTTGAGGCTGGTTCCGAAAGCGAGTCAGTTGCCATAGATCTCCATGTTAAAATGCAAAACTCTACATGAGAAAAAAAGCATGTTTACAGCCAGGTAGACAAAGTGGTTTCCGTCTCTATAGCTAATTTTCCTGTCCATTTAATTCAATTTATAGTCAGTGTTATTTATATAAGGCCAGTTCATAACATCTGTCAACTCATAGCACTTCACATAGTAAAGTGAAGACCCATTTTAAACAGAGAACCCAACAAATCCATACTCTGTTTAGATTCCCATGACAGCTGCATAGGGGGTGAATTTTTATATACCTTTTAAATTGCATGAGTGACAGGTGGACATTTCCATGGTCCACCTCAGCTCCACTCATGCTCCAACTCTTGTTGGATTAGCCGAAAATTAGAAGGAGTCACTGTCAAGACGGTGATGGCCGGAGCCACCACACTGAGCTTCAAAACTGCTCTTCAGGAAACCTATCGATGGCGTCAACAAGGAACATCTTTATATATGGTCTGAGTCCAACAAACTGTGGTGCATTTGCCCTTTAAGTTCAGTTTATTTGGAACAGTTGAACTCCAGGGTGGACTGCACAACTGCCTCCAAGTCGGCCGGTAAAGTTTGTTTATGATGTGAAAGACAAAACCACAAGACTTCATGATAGTAGCATGAGCTGTTAAATCTATCTGACACAACTGTCCACGAAGCTCTAAAAGTCATGTGCAGTTAATTCAATCTCTACATTTATGCATGATTATTTGGTTACCACGGCAACACGTTCTGTATGTGTTCTACATTTTTCTTCTCTGCACCAACGAAATTAATTGCCGTACAACTGAGTTCAATAACCATTTGACCATTTGTCCCTGAAGCTCTACATATGTGGGAACCACGCTGCTGAGACATTGTAGGTATTTGGAAAGGATCTTTGAATCCAGACCTACTGAGTACCATGCAATCAGCTGTTGCACATATGTTTCTCTGTGGGCATGCTTCTTACACCTTTGGATGAAATTCCCCTTGAAGCATGTTTATATCTTTTCTCATATGGTGGCCAAACCGGAATTGGCCCACGATCCATTTCTGTCTCCTAACATCCAAACCCATGAGCTTGTGCTGCTGCTCGGTTACCTGTTGGTTTTCCAGATGTGGATGGTCTCGGGGTCCGTGATGTTGTGCTGCAGAGCCTGCTCATCCAACAAGTCAAAGAAGTATTTGACAGCTAGGGGTACGGGACGACTGGTGCTGAGGATCGCAGTGAATAAATCATCCACAAACTTCTGCAGAGTGCCCTGAAACCGAGCAGGAGAAAGTGACAGGGATAAATAAACCATGAAACAAAGATAGGATTCTTTCATTAAAGGGCCACTCCACTGATTTAACACATGAAGCTCAGTTTAAATTGCCTGCGAAAGCAATCGCAGCTGAAGAGCCTTATGATACATGTCTACAGGATCTGTTTTTTCAACTCAGTCAATTCATTGTCTACATAAGCAGACGTGTAATG